CCCCCCCTTATATCAGATCCTGGCTACGCCCTTGCATGCATTATTCAGCCGGCAGCATGATTCAATAATTAAAGGTCAGATAAACTGGCAGTTGTCCCTCTCGCACCGCTCCCTTAGGCATGGCACCGTGTTGCTTCTTTTAAAAATTACCTAAAAAAATAGTAGTTTTACGTATAAAAATCATTGCGCTTTGTTTTCTTCATATTCGCTGTCATTTGATTTTTCCGATTGCGTGCATTTGGATAAGTTTGCCAATAATCTCGAGTTATTTCTTAATATAGTTAAATTTTCTAATTATTAATGAGTAATATATCTAATTTTCGTGGTAATTAAGCGCAGCGCATACAATTTGAGTCCCACTGTGAGGTATTATTTCACCAATTGTATTTTCTGGTCGTGCGGCACGTGGTCATGTATAAATTCCGCTTTTATTTAATTAAATCTATTATAAATCGGTTCCTGAAAACCTTGTCCGAAGCTATTAGAAAGTGACTATAACGTGGCAATTTAACCAGTGAACTTTTCTTTAAAGGTTTCTTTGTCTTTCCACTTTTTGGCTTTCGACTTCAGCGCTACTCCACTTGTTAATTTTTCCTGCCCCAGAGGAGCGACATCATCAATTAGCTTTTGTGGACACGGTGTTCCATTCACACACACGTAATTTAAATTGAAACAAGTGACTATAAGTAAAGAATTTAACAAGTGAACGCTTTTGTTTCCAGGTTTCTTTGTGCTGCATTTTTCTTGCTTCATAGGAGCGGATTTCCGACTAACGCATCTGGGGACACAGTTCCGACTAACACACACACACGTAATTTAAGCTGAAACAAGTGACTATAAGTACCCAATCTAACAAGTGAACTCTTCTCTTTCCAGGTTTCTTTGTGCTGCATTTTTCCTGCTTCATTGGGACACAGTTCCGATTAACACACACACACGTGATTTAAACTGAAACAAGTGGCTATAAGTAAACAATCTAACAAGTGAACCCTTTTCTTTCCAGGTTTCTTTGTGCTGCATTTTTCCTGCTTCATAGGAGCGGATTTCCGACTAACATACACACACGTATAATCGCAGCTTCTCCGTTTGAAGTGTTTTGTATGTAAGTTAAAATAAGTTATTAGAGCAGTGCTTATTCATAAGATGATATTTCCAAATTACATTAATTTTTTAAGTTTAAGCGTTACTAATTTCAGTGGGGTTAAAATTATTTTGTGTGTCAATAAATAACATCTGAAGTCGTTTTGTTGCTTTAGTAAAATGTATGCAAATTTATGTAAAATGCAGCAGACGTACAGTTCGGGTATTGAAGTGGATGTTTCATTGGGCCTTATGAAAAAAAACTAAGCAATTGCTTTTTCTTAAAATTTCAAACCTTTTAATTAAATTTATTTGAATAAATGGAGTAAAAGAACTGAAATTTAGGAAAAAGCTATTGCGTAGTTTTTATTCATAAGGCCCATTGTACGAAAGTAATTTGACGGATTTAGCTGTTATTTATTGGCTCATTTATATTTGGTACATTTCTGTGTCCGTTTAAATTAACTTAAGTGAATTTCGAGGGTTTGACATTTAATTAAGATATAATTAGATAAAATAGGAGATACACCTATAATAA